TAGAATATTTCAAATTGATAACCTGTGAAATTATTTTAATTATTTCACTATTCGATTTCTGTTCACTTTCTTTTTTAAACATTTTAATATATTCAAAACTGTACGTTGACCTGGATTACTTATGTTATGTTATGTTGAGAATGGGGTGTTAATACACTGCGACCTAAAAGATCTATTGTGCCCCCTTCTGTCGCCAATGCACCAAGGAAATGTCTCAATGCCTATAACGACCCTTCCAATCCTATTTTCTCAAGGAAGTATAGAATTTGAAGTGGCTTCAAGTTAGGTAAATCTCCCTCTTCTATTTGATATCCTCCTAGATATAGTGCCCTTAGATTCTGGAGTGCTACACATTTAGTTAGGATGTGAATGGAGGTTTCGTCCTTCTCCTCACAGAATCTGCACTCACTATCCTCTACTACTCTCAGTTTACTTAGGTGTCATTTTAGTCGGCAATGCCCGGTAAGGATCCCTGTTACAATACGGAACCTGTTCTTGCTCAGGCAGATGCAGGCTTCCGATCGTTTCTGGTTATATTCACCCTGAAGTATTTTGGCCTGTATCAGCCCCAAGAGATTGTTCCAATTATCGGTTCTTCTACTGCCCAATTCTTTTTTAATGTCTCCTAATATTATGTTACTCCTGATACCGCAGAACGGCTCAGCTCCTACAAAGGGTGTTTGATCCCCTTTCCTTGCAAGACTATCTGCAATCTGGTTATCCTGTACTCCGTTATGTCCCGGGACCCAAATAAGAGTAACCCTATTTTGCTCGCCTAGCTCATTCAATTGTTCTAGGCATCTCCAGACCAATTTTGAGCTGATTATGTAAGAGCTCAGCGCTTTGATGGCTGCTTGACTATTGGACATGATGATAATCTTCTATCTAATATCAATTGAATAAATTTAATTTTAACTGAATTTAAGCATATAAAATAATAAATAAATAAAATTAATCATTTTGAATTTGTGGACGATAAATATTTATTAGCAATGGCACTTTGGTGACCTTGGAAGAGTTAAATATTGCGATCAGTCGAGGAAATTTGGATGTTTAAAAACAATCATTTAAGTAATTCAGGACAACGTACAGTTTTGAATATATTAAAATGTTTAAAAAAGAAAATGAACAGAAATCGAAAAGTGAAATAATTAAAAGAATTTCACAGGTTATTAATTTGAATTATTCTATCAAATGGAATTCTGCTCATATGAATTTTTTTTTATTATTTAGTTTACGCAAATTTAGAGTATTGAACATTTTTTTGGAATTAAAAATAATAAAACGAAATTTTTGTCGTAGGCTGTATCTGTCAAATTTAACTTATTTGACAAATAATAAAATTGAAGTTATTTCTCAAAATTTCAATTGGTCTATTGCTTAGCAGATAGATTTGAAAATTCAGATTTATAGCAGTTCCTAATTTTAATATGAAATATTGAAACTTGGGCCACTTTGCAAATAGGTTAAGAAAACGCAAAAAGTATCAAACTTGTCCAAATTCGTTCAAATTTGAAAAAATATATTTAAAATATTACAAAGAAAGTAGTTTTTAGATAATCAAATTCAAAAACTGCATGCAAAAGAATTGACTACGTTTGATTTTGTAAAAAATGTGTCTCATAGGTTTACAGTAAATAAAAATTTGTCTTAAATGTAAGTATTTTTTAAAGTTTAGATTATAGATTCTACAAAATTTATATCCCTTTAAGCTTCAATTTGTATCAATTTGTATCATACCAAAGTTTTGAATATATAAAAAATAGTAATTTACGATTGTTTGATTTTTATACCTGAAACTTGGGAGAAAATTTACCTCTGACCTTTTTCAAACTGTAATTAAAAAGTGACCATCGGGAGACAACTCGGTTGCGGCCACCACTTTTGTGACGTCATCGATTTTTTTTTAATTGAACAAACTATTTTTCTCTTTAGTTTTGAATTTCCCAATAATAGACGATTACAAAAATGTATGTAATACTTATAGTCCAAAATCATTGGTTTGTGAATTGAAGACAAATGTTATATCAGGAATTTTGAATCTAAAATTTTATTGAAAAGACTGGACTAATAAACATGGTAGGTTATTATTAATACCATTTTCTTTTTTTTTTAGCAACTTAAATACTAGAACTTGATACATTTTTGAATATTATTAAAAAAATAGAGGCTTAAATGTGCCATATTTTAGGTTCAAATAAGAAAAAAATATTTTTCAAAAACGTAAATTTAAGTGATACATGTACGTAATGCTAGGTACTTATAGTAACTAAAGTGAAATTTTTGATAAAAATATAATTTATGATATCCAAACAAACACCTAGTCACACTTTGAATATATTTTGAATGAGGATTGTCACCAGAAAAATGTCTTATCTTCTAATCTGTATTCTTTTCTCTGTATGCTATTTTAATAGTCTAATTTTTTCTATCAAATTTTGATTATCTTGTTTATATTGGTATATTTGTCAATTAAATAATTTTATCCAATGACTTACGAAATGCCTTATTTTGTGTAATGAGTGAATATTTGCAAGACGAGCGAAGCGAGGTCCCGTAAAATAAACGAGTTGCACAGAACGAGCTTTTGACTATATTATTTATAAAATTGTGTTGGATAAAAAATGATAAACCATTAATTTTTTTTTTACTTTTAATCAAATATTTTAGAAAATACTAATCATCAGTCATCACAAACATTTTTCATTTTCTTAATAAAGCAAATGAATTCTTCAAATGAGAAATAGTAGATCATTTCGTAAAGGAATTTCATTTTCAAAAATTAGGGACTTTATATGTCCCCAAAATTAGAACTCGCAATGGGTTGTAATGAGGATTTTTAAAATAAATTAAATCCCGTTTCAAAACATTGGAGATTTATTCAAAAATTACTACACAAGCCGAAACAAATAGCTAAGATCGGAAATAGATTAGTAGGAAAAAAACTTACAATTTGGAGTCCCACAGGCTATAATTCTTCTGCCTCTAGAGTTTTCGATCTATAATAATAATTTATTATTCATTCTACAAACAACGGGGAAAATAATTAGCTTCGCTGATGATATCGCTATTTTATAGTCAGAAAATTCATATGAAAATCTGAAAAATAAAGCTGAAATAGACTTAAAAAGAATTATACAATGGTTTCCAAATAATATACCATAAATTTCGAAAAACATTATGTCTACCTGAATATGAAATGTTAACAATATTAGATGACACTGTATTCAGCCACACAAATAGCCTCAAACACCTAGGTATTACAATAGACTGCTTCAAGCGAACATGGACTCCATCTCACCGAGAGATATTGTCCATAAGCTATGTAAAGTTATGACAAAACAAATAAAAGAGCCGGAAGTGGCAGGTACGATTCATATCTACACCGGTTCTAAAACAAAATAAGGTTCGGGATGTGGAATATACTCCAGATCCATAAACCTAAACATAAAATGGGCTATGAGCAATAGTGCCAGTGTAGTTCAAACCCAGCTCACGGAGATTTTAGTAACAGCAAAAGAAATCACCAGAAACAATATCACTGGAAGAAACATGCTCATCTATACAGATAACAGACAAGTACTACTCATGCTGAACATACCACAAATTTACTCAGGGTTAGTATAGTTCTTCCATTATCAACTGCACAATATAAAAACTCGTTTCGACCTCTTACCGACAATTTTGTTTGTTCTGCCATAGGCGTAGATATAAATTTATTATTTTTATAAATATTTTAAAATAAAAATATGCGAGAAAGTATTCGTTGAAAGGAAATCGAATCATTATAAATTAGACGACATTATACGCTTTTATTTAGACAAATGCACTTAATTGTAGTCCTACTTGGAACTTAAAAAAAAATCATTATTATAGGTAGCTCGTTAACTTGCTATAACTGAATATTAAATTATAAAACGTAAATAGACGAGTAAAATGTACCTGCCTGTAAGGGCGTTTGGTTTAAACAGGGTACCAGAGTCCTTATGGAAATTCATTCGTTTTTTCTGGAAAATGAAATTTCAAAGCAAAAACAATAAAGGAAAATAAATTATTTGCAAATAAAACAAAAGAAAAAAAAATTCAATTCCAAAGTATCTTTATAAATAATTATAGTATTCAGAATCGTCTGATCTGGAGTCATAATTTGGTTGAATTGTGATGGGTTGTAAAGAGATGGGTGTGATGTTATCCACATCCACAAATGTACACTGAGAAAAATACAGCTCCATTATAATAGTCATATAACTTGGTTCAAATGAAATGTAGACGCTTTTCATTTGCAGATTTCAATTGAGGAGGTTTCAATACATACAAATCATACCCGAAATTAACTTTTTCTCCGTCTGAGGGGGTGCAATTGGGGGTGAAATTTAACAAAAAATCATAAAAGCCACAAATGGCTTTGTACACCTTTCTGCTTACGATATGTTATGTAGTTTGCTCTTTTCTTCATCCCTGATACTATGCTGGAGTTTGTCGAGCCGTCTGAGGGGGTGCAATTGGGGGTAAATTTAAAAAAAATCGTAGAAGCCATAAATGGCTTTGTGCACCTTTCTGCTTGGGATATGTTATGTAGTTTGCTCTTTTCTTCATCCCTGATAGCATGCTAGAGTTTATCGAGCCGTCTGAGGGAGTGCAATTGGGGGTGAAATTTAAAAAAAAATCATAGAAGCCAGAAATATCTTTGTACACCTTTCTGCTTGGGATGACTTTGATTTTAATATTCAAAAAATAAAAAAGAACTTTGAAAAGAAAGTGTCTTGTGTCTTTCTACTTTTCAAAAGTATATAATGCGTTCTCCTTTAGAACATGGCCCATTCAAACAGCAATTTTTACTATGGTAAACCCAACCGAAATGTACAACATCGTTACTATCAAATCATGTTATGTATCTATTAGAACTTTGTAGTCTTTTATCTGACGCAAATAATCTTGTTACCATTGAACTATCCTTGACGATTCGGTAAATGACATGCGTTTATTCACTTTTTTTTAATTTATTTAAAACCACATACTGACAAAACTTGACGCAATGTTTCTAAACTGGTATAAGTGTATTCTGGATAATCTGCTACCTGTTGCTGTATTACTTCCAATATTGCAATTCTGTTCTCCTTAAATAAACTCTAAATTGTTCTACTTATAAAATCTTGAGTAGCTTTGTTAATTGATTTCAGTTTTTCTTTACATGTTTATCGGTTCTGTGAATGATCCACAGGAACCCCTTTCGGGACTACTCGATAAATGGAAAAGTTATTAACTTTAGTAAATTCAGCCAGTCTTATTATGATTGCGTTATCAGATTACTGAATATTGTCCTTTTTTAAACATTAGAATATATTTAAAATAACTTGTTGTGTTTGTATATCTAAATCTTTATTGTTGAATTCATACCTGTCTTTTTTCTCACTACACTGTGTAATTTTATTATCTTCATTCGCCCATGCTCTAAAGAACATCATATTTCTATTTATTTAAAGAATGTTCTAAATTAAACCAACCACACCACACGACACTACTACACTGATATCGCAGACTGTCTTCCAGGAATGTTTTCGAACACTTGTGCCTCCCTAAACCTTCGGCCAATACAGTACATTTAAGTTTACGATTCGATGTTTTCATTGGTAAACAACGAAGATGATGAATTTTGACGCACATAAATCAAGTACACGTGGACTGACGGATCGTTTGATATTTACCGCATTTTATAAGGGGCATGACTGCCGTGCATATATATTAATTATTGATTAGTTCACACATAACTGTGTTCTGCAATTGATAATGGAAGAACTATACTAAAATGTCACGAAGCTTTGGCCGAAATATTCATCAACAATTTGGTCACCTTAAGATGGATCAAAGGTCACGGCCACATCGATTGCTGATTCACTAGCCAAGAAGGCAGCCAGCCAACCAAACACTTTTTGGATCTGGCCTTTCTATTGGACTGACAACATCGGTAGTGACAGACCTAATTAAAGAACATTCCCTTGTGAAATTCAAGGAAAGATGGGATGAAAACAAGAAACTGCCAGAGTTGCCAGGAAGCTTTTAAGTTATTCTTACAATACTACATCAATCAAATTCTTAATTATGACTAGACAGAATCTGCGCTGGATCACAGGCAATCTGACTGATCATTTCCAAGTATGGAAGCATCTCCACATCATGGGGCTGTCAATATCTACACTCTGCAGGGATACGGATAAGAAGATAAGACTATCGAGCATATCCTCTACGATTGCCCGACGCCCTCATTTATTAGAAAATTTGTGTTCGGCTAACCTCGGCCGATATAGAAGTACCTCTTGGCGACGTTGCGAAGCCTGTTGCATAAGTTTAGATACTTGAAAAATGTTCTAAACATAAGTCACCTAAACATAGTAGAGTCCAGAATACACTATGGTATTCTAGGTGGGGGTGCTGCTGTGAAAACGTACATAAATCCTGTCAATATTCTTCAAAAGAAGATGTTGAAAATTATTTATAGCATTTTCAACGGACCTACTATTTTATGTAGTAAGAGTTTTAAACCTTAAGGAAACTGTATGGTTTTTCTCTATAAAAATAAACGTGTACTAAAACGTTTGGAACACAAATACCTTACTTATGTAAAAGCAAGGAAAACTGGTGTATCCAAATACCCTTATTTAACAAAATTATAGGTCAGCGCTCACATCTATACATTTAAATATTTATAACTTTCTATATGCACTCGGAACTCCTTCCTTATGTCCATTTAATCATCATATCTTTTATTTTGTTTTATTCTTTGTGAAACCAAATTGATAGAATTATTGTTTTCCATATGATTTAATCTGATTCATAAATAATATCATATGATAAGATAATTAATAATTTATTTCTATTGTCTTTAAAAATTTTAAAATTATTGTTTATTTTTAATTTTTTTTATGTAATCTATTTCAAATTTTAAAGTTGATATATTGTAATTAATACTAAAATACCTTAAATGTAATTTTTGTTAAAATTGTTTATAAATACTATTTTGAATAATCTATATTTAATTATTTAGGTATTAAGACTCCATAATATATTTTTTATAAATGCTCATGCTTAGCCAATAGTGGTTGTAATGGGCTCATCTTTTGTATTTATATTTGTGTAAATTTTATATTTATTGATGAATGTGTGTACTTTTGTTCAAATAAACATTTCTTTTTATTCTTATATCTTGATTTCTAGTCAAAATTTCTAAAAAGCTGTGCATCCTGTAAGAAAGTGTAAAATAATAAAATACTATCCCTTGTCTAAAGTTATGCCTCTTTGCCAATTTTGATAACGATTTATAAATATAATGAAAAATATTTCCACTTTAACACTGTATTTTTTCCACAACAACATTTTATTGAGGTATGTTTGGTCCAATCCTCATATTTTTGTCCAAATAACCTGCTCTTAATCTATGTCATAATAGTTAAAACACCCTATATAATAGACACAATTATCTATTATGTGAATGGCTTTATTTGTAAAAAATGTAAAAGGTTGCAGCTAATGCTTAAAAATGTTCAATGCGTTCATATTTGAATGAGGCAGAGTTGGTTAATTTGCGAAATCGTGAAAAATGTATTCATCCAAATAGTGATTTGGTTACTTTATGTTAAATACCTCTTCATAAAAAATGTTCAGTATGTTCAGTATTTTGGTCCAAATAACCTGTGTTTACTCTATGTCCCAATAGTTATGACTCACCCTGCATATATTGATTTTAAACTATAAAATGGTTTATTTTTATTTGTTTTCCTTTCATTCCTAACTAGTGAATGAACTTATCGTAATCAGTTACATAATGTTCAACTTTATGTTAATGATTACATAATGTGTCAATTTGTGTGTCAAAATTAGAATAATTATATTTATTCGATTAAAATTTGGTTTTATTAAAGTTTTTTTCTTAAATTATCAATTTCCCGATCAGAAAAACCTCAATGGTATAAAATATGTACTCGCGACCGTCAAAACCAGCAAAGGATCTATTGTTATACTTTTTGGGTTGGTCATTGAACTCGCGTCGCTTGTTCACTTCCCCTCGTACACGCTGAATATAATTTTCTATTCTCGCTCTCGTCGAGTGTCATGTCATATCATGTCATGGTACTTTTACGTAATCGGATAGCTAGGCAGTTGTTAATATAAAAAGATTGGCCTCTCTCATAACACTTGAGCTATAACATTCAAACAGAAAACTTTCACTAGTTTCACTCGGCGGTTACCAAGAGAGCCGAAGACTAGACAATGTTCAACCATTACCATACCATTCCATGCACGAGGTCTATGGTAATATTTTCTAGTCACGATTCGAGAATGTTTGGCTGGTATTCACAGGGTGTTGTGCAAATTCCTGAATGACCGTGACTGTATTCCAATTGAATTGTGCACTAGAGACAATCTCGTTTTTTAATAAAGAAATCAAAACAAACAAAATAGTTATTGTACAGATTTTTGAAATTGAATATGGACTAGATAACGTTCATCCAGCAATTTTGCTATTTACAGTAGTACGAAACAAATTAATATTAATACGAGTAAATAAAAATGCGTTACATTAGTCACTTGATTTCTTTTGACTCGAACGTGTAAATCTTTTCTATTCATGTTAGTTGTTCATTTGAGTGGAATCTGTTCGATTTGAACTGGTTTACTTTTTCTTGCAATTGAAAGCAAAAACTTTTTTACTTTCCTATCTGTATACAGATAAGGAAAGTATAGGAATCATGATTTTTTTCGACCTCCAGTTTTCGACGGATTTTTACGTTTTGGGGTCCCCTGAATCCGTTTTGACTATTTTCGGGATGATGTCTGTGTGTGTGTGTGTGTGTGCGTGTGCGTGTGCGTGTGCGTGTGCGTGTGCGTGTGCGTGTGCGTGTGCGTGTGCGTGTGCGTGTGCGTGTGCGTGTGCGTGTGCGTGTGCGTGTGCGTGTGCGTGTGCGTGCGTGTGTGTGTGTGTGTGTGTCTCTATCCACCATAACTCATGAACCGATACAAAGAAAAACACCAAATTTTAAACTTAAGCTTTATTCCAGCCTACGGTGAACTGATTAGATTTTGGACAAAGTCAGAACATTTGGGGGGGTACTTTATTAGTGGTCATTTTTATATTTTATGAAATATATCCGTTATTTACGTTTGGAGAAGAAAATTCTTCAAATAAAAGTTACTTATAATATTATTATCTATAATTTTTGTTCCATACAAAATTTTCCTAAAATGGTCCGTATTCGAGAAATTTGACAAAATGTAAAAAAAATATTTTTGTATAAAGATTGTTTAAATAGAAGTTGTTTGTAATATAATTCTCTTTAATTTTTATTCCATACATAATTTCTCTAAAATGGACCGTATTCGAGATATTTGAGAAAATGTGTAAATTTCGAATTTTGAAGAAAACTCAAAAACGGATAAAGGAAAAAACATTAAATTTTAAACTTAAGTTTTATTTCGGCCTGACGTGAAATGATTAGATTTTAGACAAAGGCGGAACATTTGGGGGGGTACTTTATGGGAGGCCGTTTATATACTTTATGGAATATATCTGTTATTTATGTTTGGAGAAGAAAATTGTTCAAATAAAAGTTACTTCTTATATTATTATCTATAATTTTTGTTTTATGTCAAAATTTCCTGAAATGGTCCGTATTCGAGAAATTTGACAAAATGTGCAAAATTCTGATTTTTATGAAAATTGTTGAACTAAAAGTTGTTTGCGATATCGATCTCTATAATTTTTGTTTATACATGATTTTTCTAAAATGGACCGTATTGGAAAAATTGAAGGAAAAGTGCTAAATTTAAATTTTTCAGTATTTTCGTTTTCAATGAATATCTATAGAAAAATGTTTCGAGGTAGATGTATGTGAAAAATGTATATATTTAGTTTATCCTCGAAACATTTATAGAGGTGCTGCAATAGGTTGTACAAAATAACCGGAAAAAGCCTATAATAACTAGATAGGAAAGTCATGTGTTGGACACATCAGATTTTTTGTGTTAGTAGTGTGACTATATTTTGCTAAACATAACAAAGAAGAACTAAATTATTGTTAAAAATGATGGATTAAACAGTGGCGACCTCTAAAAATAATATGAA